CTCTCTCTCTCAAATAAATAAATAAAATCTTTAAAAATAAATAAATAAATAAATAAAATAAAAGCAACTCAACTGTTACAATAATATAACCTGAATACTATTATCTTAAGTAAAGTTCATCTAAAGCCTTTGAACAATGTTTGTTTGCTTGTTTGTTTGTTTTAGGTGAGCTCCACACTGGGGCTTGAAGCCACAACGCCACAATTAAGACCTGAGCTGAGATCAAGATTCGGATGTTTACCCAACAGAGCCACCCAGGCACCCCCCCATCCAAAGCTCTTTGAATCTTTATTTCATTCAGTACAAAATTAAGCTGAATTTTTATTTAATAAAACCTAGTTTTTATAGGAAACTAAAATTATGTTAAATCCAACGTTTACATGAATGGACCCTTGAAGGCATTATGCTAAGTGAAATAAGTCAGACAAAGACAAATACTATATGATCTCACTTCTATGTGGAATCTAAAACAAAACAAAGCAAAAATTACCAAACTCATAGAAAAAGAGATCAGACTTGTGGTTACCAGAGGCAAAGGGTTGGGGGGCGGGGGGTGGCGAGGAAAAACTGGAGGAAGGTGGTCAAAAGGTACAAACTTGCAGTTTTAAGATAATTAAGTACTAGGGGTGTCATGTACAACAAGATGACTACAGCTAACACTGTTGTATGGTATGTAGCAAAGTTGTTAAGAGAGTAGATCCTATGAGTTCTCATCACAAGGAGAAAATTTTTGTCCTTTTTTTCCTTTTCTCTCTTTTTCTTTTATTGTATCTATATAAGATGATGCATGTTAGCTGAACCTATTGTGGTAATCATTTCACAATATAATGTAAATCAAACTGTCACACTGTATGCCTTAAACTTACACTGTGAAATATGTCAATTATTTCTCAATAAAACTGGAGTAAAAAAAGTTTTGCCTGGGCCTAAGCACCCATTTATAAAGGCCTTACATTTTACAACACAGTACATGATTATTAGCAAAGGGCAAATACTTACAGAAATAGTGAAAGGGGTGAGCTTTTTCTTATTAATGGCTCTTTCATCAATTGTGTCTGGTTCAGATAAGTTGATCATTTTGCTATAGAGAAAATGGCAGTAATTAAGCTTACGACTCCCAGTTTAAGATAAATAATTTAAGTTAAATTATTTAAGACTTTTTAGTTTGTTTTTGCAAGTAGACAAAATAGTTAAATTTTGAAAAGTAATAATCCGTTTCTTTAAAATATACTGTGATTCATCTCAGGGACTTACTTTTTAAAATCTAAGAAATATTCTGTAACCTAAAACAAATCCTTCACTCACTGCAATAGTAATCTTAGCACTTCCTCCTAATTTTTTTTTAAATTGTCTTGCATTTTCTTTATGTGAGTCTCTATTTCATTTACTGATCATCAACATTCAGCAGTCTGAAATGTAAAACAAATTCTTAAGAAGCCAAGTTTCATAAAGTGGTATCAACAGTGTCAAAATTACTGTTGCAGAAAGAGCCAGAGACATGGCCTAAAATTTCAATAACTCAAACATTTTAAGAGAAATTAATATAAAATTTATCTCTAGATTTTAGAATATATTTTATATTTTAAAATAAAGATAGAAAAATACCCATTCAGGGCGCCTGGGTGGCTCAGTTGGTTAAGCGACTGCTTTCGGCTCAGGTCATGATCCTGGAGTCCCTGGATCGAGTCCCGCATCGGGCTCTCTGATCGGCAGGGAGCCTGCTTCTCCCTCTGACCCTCCCCCCTCTCATGTGCTCTCTCTCTCTCATTCTCTCTGTCTCAAATAAA